AAAAAAAAAAAAAAAAAAAAAAAAAAATTGAATTTTAAAATCTTCCCACAATGAAAAGCTCAGGTCCAAAACGCTTCACTGGTGAATTTTACCAAACATTTACAGAATAAATAATATTAATCCTTCACAAACTCTTACAGTAAATAGAGGAGGGGAGAGCACTTCCCAACTCATTTTATGAGGCTAGTATTAATCTGATACCAAACCAGACAAACATCATTAAGAATAGAAAACGACAGACCAATATCCCTCTCCCAAAAATTTGATAAAAGTCCTCAACAAAATATTAGCAAATCAAACCTAGCAAGATATATAAAGGATTATATGTCACAACCAAGTGGAATTTATTCCAGGAATATAGATAGGGTTGGTTTAACATCTAAAAATCAATGTAATACATCACATTAATAAAGGTCAAAGCCCATATATATGATCATCTCAATAAAGTCAGAAAAAGCACTTGACAAAATCCAACACCCATTTGTGATAAAACTAGGAATAATAGGGAACTTCCTCAACCTGATAAAGGACAGCTATGAAAAACCTACAGCTAAAATCATACCTAATGTTGAAAGACTAAATACATTCCCCCTAAGACTGGGAACAAGGCAAGGATGTCTGCTCTCATCACTTTTATACAACACTGTATTGGAAGTACAACTGCACTGGAAGTACAGACAAGAAAAATAACAGGCATGTAGATTGGAAAGAAGTAAAACTATCTTCATATGTAGAAGATATGATTTTATATATCAAAACTCTTGGGGCTTCCCTGGTGGCGCAGTGGTTGAGAGTCCGCCTGCCGATGCAGGGGACACGGGTTCGTGCCCCGGTCCGGGAAGATCTCACATGCCGCGGAGCGGCTAGGCCCGTGAGCCGTGGCTGCTGAGCCTGCGCGTCCGGAGCCTGTGCTCCGCAACGGGAGAGGCCACAACAGTGAGAGGCCCGCGAACCAAAAAAAAAAAAAAAAAAAAAAAAAAAATCTTGAATTCACAAAACTACTAGAACTAATAAGTTCAGCAAGGTCATAAGATATACTAGATTAATATATAAAAATCAATTGTATTTCTATTCATAAGCAATGAACAGTCCAAAAATGAAGAAAAAATTCCACTAATAGCATTAAAAAACAATAAAATACCTAGGAATGAATTTAACAAAAGAAGTACAAGATTTGTACGCTGAAAACTAAAACGTTGCTGTAAGAAATGTAAGAAGATATAAACGAATGGAGGGAGCATTCCATGCTCATGGATTGGAAGACTCAATATCATTAAGATGGCAATTCTCTCCAAATTAATCTATGGATTCAAGTCAATCCCTATCAGAATTCCAGCTGCCTTTTTTTTTGGACAAATTGGAAGACTCACACTTCCTGATTTCAGAAATTTCTACAAAGCCATAGTAATCAAGAGAGTGTGGTACTGGCATAGGATAGACGTCTAATATAAATTAAGGGAACAGAATTGAGTCCAGAAATCAACCCTTATGTTTATGATCAGCTGATTTTCAATAAAGGTACTAAAGTAATTCAGTAGTTCAGGAAAGGATAGTCTGTTCAACAAATGAAAGTGAAAAGAAAAACTACAGGATGGGATATGATATTTGTAAATCACATCTGCTAAAGGATTTGTGCCCAGAATAGATAAAGAATTCTTCTAACTCATTTATATGTATTCAGATAACCCAATTTAAAAATGGGCGAGATACTGACATAGACATTTCACCAAGGGTGATACACAAATGATTAATAAGCACCTGAAAAGATGTTTGACATCATTAGTCTTAAGGGAAATGCAAATTAAAACCAAAATGAGATACCACTTCACATCTAATAAGATGGCTTTAACAAAAAAGACAGCAACAAATATTGGCAAGAATATGGAGAAACTGGAACTTCATATATTGCTGGTAGGAATATAAAATGGTACAGCCATTTTAGAAAGCAGTTTGACAGCTTCTTAAAATGTTAAACACAGAGTTGCCATATGACCCAGCAATTCCACTTCTAGATATCTACCCAAGAGAAATGAATATATATGTCCACACAAAGAATGCTTATAATAGTGTTATTCATAATAGCAAAAAAATAGAACCAATCTAAATACTTATCAACTGGTAAAAGGATGAACAAGATGTGGTATATCGATACAATAGAATACTATGTGGTACTGAGAAGGAACAAAGTACTATTACGTGCTACAATATGGCTGAACCTCAAAAAAGTTAAGTGAAAAAGCCAAACCAAAAGACACCTTATTGTATGATTCTATTTATATGAAATGTCAGCAATAGGCAGGAAGTAGATTAGTGGTTATCTGTGGCTGGGAGTAGGAAAGGGAATGACTGCTAATGGGCAAGAGTGATTTTTTAGAGTGATGAAAATGTTCTAAAATTGGATTGTATTGATGACTAGATAGAAGGAAACTGATCAAAAGTAGGCACTAAAAACCTATAGCACATTTTTAAATGGTGAAACTTTAGACATTTTCTCTATAAAATCAGGAAGGAGAACATGCTTGCTATTACTACTGCTGTTCACTATTGTTTTGGGTTGGAGGGAGGCAGGGTCCTAGTTGGTGCAGTAAAAAAAACAAGGATTGGAATATATTAGGATTGGAAAGGAAAAAATGAAACAATATCATTCTCAGATGATACGATTATCTGTATCAGGGGCTGGCAAACTTTCTATAAAGGACTGTGTAATAAATATTTTAGGCTTTGTGTGTTATATTTTCTCTGAGCAGCCATAGACAATGCATGAATGGGTATGGCTATGTTCCAACAAACTTTTTATATAAAAACAGGCAGTATCCAGATTTTGCCCATAGGCCACAGTTTTTAGACACCCAGGGTCTATATAGAAAACTCTAGAAATTCTACTGACAGATTACCAGAATTAATTAGCGTTAACTAAGGTTGTTAGATATAAGATCAAAATGTAAAAATCAGTAGTGTTCCTATACATCACTACAAACAATTTAAATTTTTTTTAAGTACATAGTTTTTAGTAATTAAAAAATTTAGTTGGGGACTCCCCTGGTGGTCCAGTGGTTAAGACTCCATGACTCCACTGCAGGGGGCACAGGTTCGATCCCTGGTGGGGGAACTAAGATCATGCATGCCGTGTGGCACAGCCAAATTAAATAAATAAATAAAATAAATAGATAAATAAATAAATGTTCTTAAAAAAATTTAGTTGGTACACAGGAATAAATTGCAACAGAAGATCTGTATAACTATTATGGAGAAAACTAAAATTTCATTTAAGTTATTGTAAGACCTAAATAGAATCTATGGATGAAAAGATTCCTCTAAAATTAAATATAAGCAAATTTTAAAATGAAGGGTATAAACTCATAAGATGGGGAAATAGGAAAGGAAGGAATGACAATAAAGTTTTAAAATCTGGAAGGCAGGAAGATGAGTGGCAACCGACTCAGCAACTCACTTAAACTTACTTACTAGTAAGTACAAGAAAGCTGAATCCTAAACTGGCAGTGGGAAAAAGTTAAGAACTTAAGAATATTTATACAAAATCCTCAAAAATCACAGTAACTGGCAACTCTCGGTATTCTGTAACAGAAAGGGTAGCTAAAATAAGGATTCAAATGAAAGATGTTTAAGAACTTATATCTCCTCCCTTAATCCATACTGCTGGGCTATTTACCTCCTCGCATTTCAGCAGGAATTTTGAATTTTATTCTCTAAAGAGGTAAAATAGAGAATATCTGTATTAAAGGATGCCAAGACACAGTTGAAGGCTTGGGTACCTTACCAAAATCAGGGGGATTAAGTGACCATATGCACACTGAATATTGAATTTAGAGATCCTCACAAGTTCTTTCCGTTAATGAACTAAAGGTACTGACATTAGGAGTTCCTCAAAAAATGGCTTCACCCTATTTAGTGAAGCTCAAGCCTACCCTTGCACTCAGAGTTCCCAGTCAGCTTTTTAGTTCCCCACTCTTAATTATGAGCAGACAGCCAAACATAATCAGACATTTGACAAAAGTTTCTATGAAAAGACTCACACAAATGGGGAGATATCTTGGAAAAAGTAGAGACTACATAGGGAGAAGAAAACTTAAAATTTTAAAAACCTATAAATATCCTCAGAGAGATAAGAAAAGTTATTGCATGCTTGAAGCACTGTATGCTGACTGAAGGATGCTACAGAAAAGAGGAACAGAGGGGACTTTTAAAGTACTGGTATTGTTCTACCTCTTAACATGGGTGATGAATCACAGCTGTTCATTTTTCTTTAAACTCTACATATGTCTTATTTATGTACTTTTCTGTAGGGATGACAAAGTTCACAGTTTTAAAAATAGTTAATAAAATGGGGACTAAAAAACATAGGCAAGGAATAAAAATCTATTCAAAAGGTCATACAGATTTGAAATAGAGCCAAATAGAACTTAAAGAAGTAAGGAAATAGAACTATTGAAGTCTATAAAAACAAGTAGCAGACACAGCTTAAAAAACAGGTTAAGAAAGATATTGAAAAACCAAGATGGCAACATATGCAAATGAGGAGATAGAAAACATGAAAGAGCAGTTATTAGACAAGGAGAGTCAAATGGGAATGTTTCAGATATCTATCTAGAGCTCCAAAAGAATAGAGAAAATAGGTGAGAGGCAATATTGGAATAATGATGGAAAATTTTCCATAATATATAAACAATATGAATCTTAAGATTTAGAAAGTCAAATGAATCCCAATGAAGATATATGAAAAGAAATCCAAATTTACACGTCATAGTGAAACTGCAATACTCCAAAACAACGAGAAGATCAACCAAAGGAAAAAAAATTATCCAAAGTAACAATTCGACTGATAGTAGACTTAAAAATAGCAACAATAGAAGGCAGAACTCACTGGAATATTATCCTCAATATTCAGAAAGAAATAACTATCAACCTAAAGTTATAGGCTCAGCTAAACCTTTAATCAAAGAGTGAAATAAAGATTTTCAGAACTATAAAAAGTGAGAGTTTATCTCAACAAAATTTTATTTAATATACTTCAGAAAGAACTAATAATCTTTAAAAAAAAGTTAGAGATGGAAGAAGGAATGGTGAGCAAAAATTTTTCGTATGTATAAGTCTGAGTGTACATCAAGTGTAAATTCTAGTTTGAAGGGCAAAAATATGACTATCACTGAATGCTTATATTTATGATAACTCTAGGTTTTGTTGGTTTGATTTCTTTTGTAGGTGTACAGAAGATGGGTGTCCACATAAGAAATTCTTTCACACACGTTTTCTCATGAGAATGAGATTAACACCAGATTGTTCCAAAATGTTGATCTCAACGTCCTCTGGATATCTCTTGATTTTGCATGATCTTGACTTAACCAAGTCTTTAGAAGTAGGCAGCTATCCCATTCTGAGAGCAAGAAGAACAACATCAAGTTCAGGTAAGCTTTCCTTTTTTGATTAAAGAAAGTTTTTTCTAAGTAATCTCAGACATGGGGATGGTATATGTTTCTATTCTGAGAATGACAGCAGAAAGAAGGGAAGAAAGTTAAAAGATATTCTTTGGAAAGCTCAGTAAGGAAGTATAATGATCTACATGTATCTCTGACATAGTTTTAATTTGTGCCTCTGTCTCACAAATGATATAGGAAGAATAACTTCTAACTCTAAAAAAAATTTTTTTAGCCCTCTGCTAGCCAGAAAGTCTTCATCAGTATTTGTAGATCACCATTATCTCAAAAATTAGTGATGGCCCAAATTACTGTCAATCTTTTTTAAGTTCTTCTGGAACCCAGCAGAGCTGTTAAGTTATAGTCAATATAGAGTTTTAATTTTAAGTCTGTATTTCATCCTAGACTTTCAGATGTCCAGACACAGGTAGTTGGTGCCATCTTATCTCATGACCTATAAACATCCTCTTGCTAAAGCCCTGTTCCTTTTCCTGTTGCCAATTCCATTGGACTTAAGCAAAATGGGGGCTCAGGAAAACTCTGTACTACATTACATGATAGAGACTATATTATATCTACCTTTAGGAAGAAGAGGGCTGATATAGGAACATACTCATTAGTTATAATATTGTGTTTATGAACAAGAACTCAGAAAAAAAATACTTAAGCATTTGGAAAATATAACGTTCATAAATTGTTGTTTAAAATCAACTTCAAATGGTTGGAATCTTTCTCTATGCACAGGGCCACTTCTGAAGACTCCTTTGGGAATGTGCAGGGCTCATTGTATTGCAGTTGCCTAATTTCACTGCTAAAAGTAGAAATTTAAGTTTTACCAACTTATTTGCAAGCAAGGGATTTCATTAATATGCAAGTACAGTCCTTTTCATTTCAAATTTTTAGGTTAAACATTAATAATCAACTTTAGCTTAGTGAGCTTAGTGAGAAGTAGTGATTTAGAAGGTCTAAATTGGCATGTTTTGCTTAAAAACCAGGAAGGTTTTCTGTCTTCTAAAGGTAATTCTGATACTTAATACCATCCAAAGAAATTAGATTAATAAGAAGTCCCCACAGAAATGTGCGGCCACAAGAAAAGTGTGAAATAGAGACTGCTATTTGGAGAGATACGTCAGACTCACCTATCTGATATTCATTTTATTTTCCCAGATTTCAATGTTAAGTTTGTATTGCATTTCAAAGATGGTATTCACATAATTTCAGTACTGATGATAGAAGTTGTTGGTATGCTTTAAGAAGGATCTGTTCATGTTCTCGGTAATGGACCTGTTTGGATGCCATTCTAACATAAAACAACAGGCCGAACAGCTCAGTTTTCATTCTTGCTGAATTTTCTTGTTCCATTTCACTACAGAAATGATGGGAAACCTAAGATGTTCCTATGTTTATTTGGTTTTTCATTTTTATTTCACTTAAGGAAGTCATTGATGTAAAAAGGGTTTTAGAAAGGGACTAGGCCTTAGATTGGACATTCCAAAGAGCTATCTTGCCCACCTCAGTCTTTTTTATAGGCCACTTTTAGGTGGATATGTACTTGCCGTGTTTCAGGTGAACTTTAACAATATGGTTCAAGTAGATGATTAAAAAGTTAAGAGACACTACCAGAGTTTTGCTAGCTTTACTGTCGGAACGTTTTTGTATTTTCAAGATCTTACCACTTTGTCGAGTTCATCCGGTCCTAGAGTTTCTGGTTCACCTTCTCATCATAGTGATTCTAATTCATCTTCTGAGAAACACATGTCACGAGCCTCACAAAGAGAAGGTAGGTCAAAAGTTGGATTTCATAATCTTGAATACAGATTCTAAAATAGCTTTTTTTGGTTTGATTTTAATCCTTAAAAATAAAAGCCAATAGAGATGAGGCTATTCCTTGCTCCTCAGTAATTTTCAAAAAGCTAACCAGGGAATTCCCTGGCAGTCTAGTGGTTAGGACTCAGGACTTCCACTGCAGGGGGCATGGGTTCAATCCCTGGTTGGGGAACTAAGATCCCACATGCCACACAGTGTGGCCAAAAAAACAAACAAACAAAACCCCAAAAAGCTAACCAGTCTCTAGGGTTGAGTATCTTGGGCTTACATTTTTGTTGGAATTTGAACTTTAGTTTTATTTTCTGGATTAAGTTTGGTCTAGTTTGGAGAGGGAATAGTTGGGAAATATAGACTCCAATCAAGGTTGTTATAGAAATTAAATGAGACTATGCATGTGATAGTGCTATGTAAATATAAAGGGATGAGTTTATCAGGTGCTTGTGCAAGTTGCCTGGTTCCAGCCCAGCAGGCTTTTTGCTTTGCCATTTCCTTATCTCAGCAATGTCTGGCAGCCTCAGAGGGGTTGTGGGATAAAGAGCTATAATCTGGCCCCACTCTACTTTTGCCAGTTTTTCCCCAGCCAATCTGGGAGAACTAGCTGCTCAGTCTGTTCTATCCACCCCTTAATTGAAATGCTTTCTACCTATGCAAATTTCACTCATCATCCCTCTCCGTACTAATTCACATCTAAGCTCTTACAGCACTTTTTGTTCTCCTCTTGATGGACTGATGGCCAGATATATATATTTTTGTAATTTTGGGTCACCTTTTGGAAATAAGCATATCTCCTACCTAGATATTTAGAGGCAGGACTATACTTAGACTTATAATTAGTGTTTTCCCTGGGTGGCCTCATCTGGTAAGTGCTCAATAAATGCATTCTTGATTACTTTGCCTGACTACTTCCAAGAATGGTTTGAGAGACCTTCCTAACCTAAACCTATAGACTATCCACCATCCTGTCCTCTGGATGTTGAAGACTATGATGTCTCATTTTAAGGTTAAATATTCCTCCTCTTAGAGATTTATGCCCACATATGTAACATTTCTCCTGTGGATTCTTAGGGATGTAGCACAAATAAAAGTGAAGTAACTTTGGTTCAAGTAAAATTAAGGAGGCCCTTGACCCTCCAGTCTTCCCTACCCCATCTCCACCCTGGCCCTGTATGGTTTCCCCCCCCCTTTTGCCAGCTCTTGAGCAACCTCCAAGGAGCAGAGCTCAAAAACTACTGCTTACTTATTCAGAATGGGTTTCTTTTCTGCTTTTGTTATAGATTTTCAAAATTCTTGAAATAGGGTTCGTTTTTTTTCTAAAATTGTTGTTAAGGTTCAATCACATGTGAAATAATTCTTTAGGTATAATTTGGTTGTGAGAATGTAATTTAGATCGTCACAGGTTTCTGTCAATGCTGCAGTAATCTTAAGGGAAGCTTTTAAAAGAAGATAGCACATCTAAGTGCGAAATAATTCACGAAGGGTCTGACAGAGGCAGCTCATTATCTTTAAAGCAACTCCTATAGGCAGAGAAGTGCTGAAATATTTCTCTTGATAATAAATTTCTAAGCTGCTTCCTTACAATGTGTATGAAAGTGGTTCTCCACATACTTGAGGGATATGACATACTCCCATTTGTAACAATGGCTCACTACAGCAGTCAATTTCATTGGGGGCCAGGTAGAAAGAAATGATGGGCCATAGCAGAGTACCAGGAATATGTACAGTTGGCAGTATCTCCCACCCCTTGTTTTGACATGTCCTGTGTGAGTTGTCCTCTCTTACCTCCAAAATTATACATTGATTTGTTGTTTATAGCACTGTCCTTGGGGGCCATAAGTCCTGCTCCTTGCACACATCTTTCATCTATATAAAGGCAGTCCTCACGGCTTCCAGGTATTTCCTTCTCTGGACTAGAGAGCATCAGGTCCTCTGAGATGAGAATTGTTGTCTTTTACTTTTCCAGATTCCTTTCATGTCACATAACTTGAGATGTAGATCCAAATCAAAAGGATTCCTAGTCAGCTTTAACGCCTTAGCGTTAGGTTATTGTTGATTCCTGCTGCAGGAACTTAGATTCTTTAGTTCTGTCATACCCCTTCCCCCATACCCACCCCAAAGACACATACCCCATACGTTGAAGGGCACCATGGTTTTTTATATGTGGTAGCATAAGGGGCAGATGAAAGAATAAAGGCATGAGGGTGGCTGCCAGAAATCAAAGCTTTGATGAGCTACCTTAGTCCTTTGATAATACAAATTCCACATCCTAATTTTCTTATATCTCAGGAATTTCACCACGAAACAGTCTTGAAGTCTTAACCCCTGAAGTTCCTGGTGAGAGAGACCGTGGAAATTGCATCACATCGTTACAGCTGCACCCAAAAGGCTGGGCCACTCTTCTTCGGTGCTCAAGCAACACTGATGATCAGGAGGTATGGGCAGCAGCACTCCACCTTCAATGGGGCTGACTGAACAAACTGCCGTTGCCATGTGTGCTCACGGTGTCTTTATCCCTTCAAAATCCTTCCTCCTCTCTGGCCTGTGTGTGGCAAGCAGGAAGTACTTTAAAGGAGTCATCAGCTCAGATTGAGCCCAGCTTAATTCTTGCCTCCTTCATCTCAATGTGAAAAAACCCTTATATAGTAAACATAGGACTGAGCTAAGCTGGCTAAATGGGAGGTTTTGCTATAAGCCAATGGAGTATTATGATTTTCTCTTTTTAAAAACCAGGGAAAGCTTTGGGAAAGGAAGGGACTGAACTGATAACTAGGGGAAAAGATCCTATATGAGCTTATGATTCTCCTTACTCTGGAAAGCAGGAGTCTTTCCAGAGCTAGCTAGCTAGTCACTACCTCTAGAAGCCACAGCTAACAGGAGAGAAGAGTCTTTGAAGTGTGTAGGAGGAGAGGTACTCTAGGGCTTAGATGTCTTAGCCCTAAAATATCAAGATTCTTGTTACTCTCTTGAGTAACAGGAATTCTTGAAAAGGGAATTATTACTTCAGAAGTCACAGTGGCCTCAGGGAATAAAAGGCTTTAAAGTGTCATAGTACAGAAAAACCTTGATATGAATGTAGATAAGACAGTACGGGACCTGCAAGTTTTGTTAGTTGGGAGAGGGGTAGCATTCATCTGAATGATTTCTTGGAACAATTCTGTAGCTTTGGCATTCTGTGGAGCTTTTTTTTTTTTTTTTAAAAAAAAGATTATCTGTAGCACTGTTTGGGACTCTGTAACTTTTTGTTTTTTAATTAGTTGAAGTATAGTTGCTGTACAATATTATATAAGTTACAGGTGACAGTATAGTTATTCACAATTTTTAAAGGTTATACTCCATTTATGAGGCTCTATGATTTGTCTCTCTTCTCTCCCTCTAGTGGACTTGTGTCTATGAATTCCAAGAAGGAGCCCCCGTGCGACCAGTCTCACCTCGCTGTTCTCTACGACTGACTCATTACATTGAAGAAGCCAACGTAGGCAGGGGTTATATCAAAGAACTTTGCTTCAGCCCTGATGGGCGAATGATTTCTTCCCCACATGGCTATGGGATTCGCTTGTTGGGATTTGACAAACAGTGCAGTGAACTTATTGACTGTTTGCCCAAAGAAGCCAGTCCCCTGCGGGTGATCCGTTCTCTGTACTCTCATAATGATGTGGTACTGACGACAAAGTTCTCTCCAACACATTGTCAGATCGCCTCCGGGTGCCTTAGTGGACGGGTTTCTTTGTATCAGCCAAAGTTTTAGGCACAACTTACATCAAATAAGGAACTCTTCTGGTGTTTGAATTATATATTACTTCAATTTAGGTGAAGTATTTTCTTTTTAGAAGATCTTAAAAGTTTGGGTCAAGATCCTAGTTCTTACGGGTCCATGAACACACCTGTGACCTGAGTACTTGGTCGTCCAGCATCACAGGGGCATCGCCAAGTTAGACTCCAGGCAGCACCATCTTTTGCAGCATTCCTAGGCTCCTGCTGATCTGTGCCACTGAACTCCAGTTCTGCTGGTTGTTTTGCATGGTAGCTCTTGTCAAGTTTCTTTCTTTTAATTCTCTTTTCTGTTTTTCGATTTTGGTATGAATTTTGTGGACATTTGGCAGGAGTTTTGGTTGGATTAGGAGAAACTCGTGATGCTAGTGTTGAATAAAACCTAGAAGTTTGATGTTGGCATACTGGTTGAAAAGAAATTTCATCTTATCAGTATACTTGGCCTTTTAAAGTTGCTGTTGTTTCTCTATAATGAGCACAGATAATGGCATTATTCTTACAAATGTTATAGTTTTGCAGCAAAATGTCTTTTAAGTTTCCTGTTAAAATTATACATATTTTTCACTGTGAGAGGGATTTTGTTGTGAAATTCTAGAAAAAAAATTACCACCTCTCTTTGTAGTTTATTTGTATGAACTTTTAAATCTGTAGCATGTGTCCTTACTTGGTATTTTGTTCCTGTCAACAGCATTAGAAAGGAAAAGAGAAGGAATGGGCTTTGGTCATTTCTATTGTATAGAAGAGGATTTATTTATTAGATTATACTTTCTATCTGGCCACAGAGTGATGAGAACAATGTGGCTTAGATTTTCTGTTTCCTCTGCCAGATTATTTAAATCACAGAGGATGACAGGTGGAGGGAAAATCGAGAGTAAAAACGTTGTGTTTTTCTCATTTTCCTTGAGCTTAACTCTCTTACCATTTATGAAGGGAGAACTGTGATTGTCTTCAAGCTGTTGTCATAACTGTGGTGGTCCGTGACTTGGGTGTCATGACTAAGACCTTTTGTTGTGTTTTGTTATGGAACACAGCAAGTACAAAGCATCACGCAGGGGCCAGGCATAAGGCTGACTACTCTGCTGAAGTAAGCAGCTTTTTTCTAGTCTCCTCCACTTGGAATGGGACTGTCCTGAGAAGAGATTTGCCAGAGGCTGGAGTAATTTGAGCCACATGCTAGCTTTTTCCCTCTTAGAACACATTCTCTTAGGCCAGTGGTTCTCAAACATTAGGGTGCATTATAATCACTGGGGAGCTTGTGAAAAATAGAGAAACCTGGCCCTCACCTTAGGAGGTTCTGATTCAGCCAGGGAGAGGACAGGAATCTGTATTTTTAACACGAACCCCAAGTAATCTGTATTCAGGTGGTTCCTGGATCACAGCTTCAAATATTACTACCTTAAACATCAGTAAATATTTCTGTACCCATCAGGTGCTTAACACAACTCCCAGAAGGTGTTTTGATTATTAAAAAAATAAGCAAATAAAAGCAATTTTAGAGGTAGAAAGTAACTTAAAATGGACTCAATCTCGTTATTAGATGAATGAGAGAAGTTAAGTGACTTGCCTAAAGTCATCCTGCAAAATTAGTGGCAGAGCCAGGACTTGAATTCAAGTCTCTTAATTCCTTGCTCAGGGCCATTTCTACTGTATTATGCTGGCTGTTAAAACAATGACTTATGAACACTTCTTTTGTCTTTAAGTTGTATTATTGTGAATACCTTTAAACTGGCCAGTAGATTGAAAAAGGAAGGCATGGGAGTATCAATGCTGAGAATTCCAGCCATAAGAAGAAAAGTGTTTTAAATCTTATAGAAATGTTTAAGCAACCCAAATACATGAATAAAAATGACACTTTTTGTAGAACCTGCCAGACAGCCATTCACGCACGTACAGAGGGTACATCTCACTTGGATAATGTTGGCTGTAGGACAAATTTTAAAAATTAGATCTTTCTTACCATGGATGTTAAAAAAAAATTGGAAATGTTTTAGTCATCAAAAAAAGTACCCACAGTGAAAACACAGGTTTGCCATAAACTTTCTTAAAAACACATATTTAAGAGAAAATAAAGAGACAAAAACACCTAATGTTGATATTAAAAATAAGCTACTGGGCTTCCCTGGTGGTGCAGTGGTTGAGAGTCCGCCTGCCGATGCAGGGGACACGGGTTCGTGCCCCGGTCTGGGAAGATCCCACATGCCGCGGAGCGGCTAGGCCGGTGAGCCATGGCCTCTGGACCTGCGCGTCCAGAGCCTGTGCTCCGCAACGGGAGAGGCCACAGCAGTGAGAGGCCCGCGTACCGCAGGAAAAAAAAAAAAAAAAAAACCTACTAAGTACAAAGGTTGTATTGATAATCAAAAGAAGTTTCCATATATTGCATCTCCTTGGGAGAGTGCTCCATGTCAGATGCTGGGCCCAAATGTTGCCCAACTCTAATAAATTTCAGTCCGTGATTCAAGAATATCTATCATGGGTCAAATAATGTAGATACTTTACTAGTAACTCTCACAAAAACTGCAAGGTAGGTGGCATGAGCACCAATGTACTTTGGGGGAAATGGAAGGTCAGAAAGGTTGATTTGACATAAGTCACAGAGCTGGCATGGGGTGGCAGCACTGAGATTCAAACTCAATGTTTTAGTTCCAAGCCTGTGCTTACTACTCTACCATTTTGCCCTTTAGTTTGTAAAGGATGGTAAACTGGCCTGTTAATTTACTTATTGAACACCCTCTGGAAGTTGTTTATTTCAGAGCTGGCTCATCTTCTGCACCATACAAAAGAACATTTACAAGATAGACAATTTCCATTAGAATTAACGCCATAAACTGCAGGGCACACATACAGTCCGTTCCTAACTAAAAACCCTCATGTAGGGTAAGTAGCTATAAAGTAAAGAAAAATGGAGGATTAATAGCCTTATACAAAAACAGAGCCTCACAGATGAGAATTAAAAATTAATAGCAAACTCAACAAAACCTTTGTCCTCTCTGAGGTATTGTCATGATCAGGAAGTCATCAGGGGATATTAATCAAGGAATTAAAGGGCATCAGGAATGCCATACTATTGGAGGAGATTACACTTAAAATTTCAAGATCCCATTTCACCTAGTGTATAAAATCTAATCTGGTGTTTTTAACTCTAAAATTTTATTTAGTCATTTTTAATCATGATAATTGGTAAATGTATTATAATTGATAATATAATTGTTGGTAAGTATAGTATAAATTATACATGTTTTAAAAAGCTTTCTGCAGAACAGTATATTTATGGCGAAGCTATGTTGAATGAGTTTAAAAACATCAAATATACCGTAGTTCCTTATTTTCAATTGTGAAAATGAAGTGGCTGATGCAGAAGAGACCTCTATTTTTATCTTTTGAAAATGTCTGTGGTCTTTTTTCTCAGAAGCTCAAAGAGCATGTATATTTTGTTTCTCCTTGTTACATCCCCGGGAAGAGGTTATACCAAAAATTTTAGGAAAACAAGCATGAAAAAGGTAAATCACATATTCCTCACTCCTATGTCTAGAACCAAGATCACATCATATCATTGTTAAGGCTGTTTTCTAGAAAGTGCAATATAGGAAAAACACTCTGAGACTCTTTTAGGAGCCTAGTGTTTCCCATATTAGAATATATGGTGTTGGCATCCATAAGAATCTGTTAAGCTTGTGTTTAACAGGAGAAATGGTCTGATAACTTACTGATGACAGTCATCCCCATTTAATGACCAGCAGTCACTGAGAGCTATGAAAATTCAGTAACACAGTGTTGGTCATGAAGGAAAGCATATATATTAATGTTGGGATAATTAATGCATTTGTCTTAAGTGCCAAAATTCAAAACTTGTAATTATTTTTGATGCAAGTCTTTCAGATATGTCAGTATACCTACCCGCCTTCTTCTTAAACAGCATGCTCAGTACAATTCACTTTTTCATGATGAAAGTAAAAGTTATATTCATGTGTTATTACAAGTATCTAATGAGCTCTGATGTATGTAAAATAATCCATAAATTGTAAAGGGCTATAACAAATTGATATTAATTATTATAAAGTGATTCCCTCAGCCTCGAGGTATATATAATCATTTGCCTCAGATTCCTGGTGTGGTTTTTGTTTTTTCTTTAATTTAAAAAATTTTGTATCTGCTAAGCAGTTTGTTTTGCTTATATAGTGGTCTCCTGCCACACTATCAATATACCTGCCTCTAACAGGCTCCCCACTTCCTTCTAATGTGCTGTGTTCATCTGTTATGAGCTGGGACGTGAGATAACCAAGGCTGCTTAGTTTCTAATGGGCTGGATGAGCTCTGGGTGCACAGTCTGTGAGACAGCTCTTTTGGTTGCTCACCACCTTCCTGACAGGTTCACAGTAACCTTCTGGGTAATAGTTCCCAGTTAAAGCCCAAGCTAGTGATTTTTTTCAGTTGCCACTAAGTAAAATACTACAAGCTAAGGATGCTGCTAGATTAAGGAGAAGCAATGTACCAAAGTACAGGGAAGCAAAAACAAAGGCTCTGTAGTTGCACAGGGGTCTTTCATGCTTTTAAGGAAAAAGAAGAGTGCAGAGGGAAAAAAAAAAAAAACCCGTGAAAATCCAGATAGACTTGAGTATTTTTGATGCCATTGAACTGTCAGTAATTATTAAAATATATGGTTAAAAAATAAAATACATGGTTAAATTATCACACATTGTACAAAGACACAGTTAAGTCTCAGTGCAAAATGAGAGTGTACTGAAATTTATACCCTGAACACAATTCATAAGAATTTCTTCCATTCAAACGATAATGGAAACTATTATCAAAAGGGAAGTCTCAAATTTACCTGTATGCCGCTTTTTTAGTTGTAAATGAATTAGTGATAGAAAAATGGGTTTTATTAAATGCTCCAGGGAATACATCTCACATGCACACACCTCCTCTATACATGTGTATATAAATGTCACTATAAATGAAAATGCTAGAGATAATAAAATAATTTTAAAAATTTAAATCTGGTCCAAAGTACTTAAAATAGAATTTTCAGCTTTCCCGAGTTTCTTCCTCATTTAGATTTCAGGGTTTTTACATTAGAAGTTGAATATTTGAATTTTCTTTTAAATTTCATTGCATCTTCCATTTCCAAACTGTGCTTTCTCATAAATTTTAGATGCACATTTTCAGGACATTTGGAGTATTCCAGATAATATGCCAGACACCAGAAAGTTTACTCACTAGATTCTGAGGTGCTGTTTCTCACTAGATTCTCATGCCAGACAATAAGCTCCTTGAGGGCAGGGACTCTTATTTATTCTTTTATTCCCAGTGCCCAGCAGGATCAATAAATTTTTGTTGAATGAATCAAATGAATCTTCACCATATGTGGCCTCAAATTTCCATGAAGCCAGAATTGTGATGTGCAACTATTCAGTACTACAGGAATCCATCATTTATTATAATGAACAGACTATTCATTGGAGTAAGAATTTGTTCTGACCATAGGTCAGAAAAACTAAGCATTTCTCATTGATTTGGAAAACTGCCAAGACTCAGTTTTTCATTCAACAAACATGTGACTCCCTACTAGATGCCTAGTCTAGAGCTCAAGGGACAAAGATAACTAAGGTTTTAGTATTCTTATAACTGCAGTTGATACAGACTTAGATGCAGGGCTGGCTTCATGCGTATGTGACCTATGTAGTCATTTAAGGGTCTCCATTGAGAAAAGCCCCATGCTTGGTTTAATGCTCTGCTGAAGCCATCTTGAAATTCTTAATTGCATTATAGTACCTTTTACCTACCTTCTAGTAAAGATATTCACATTCATTCAAAACTAGCTATAAAGTGAATGATTTAGTAAAATAACTTCTAAAATCTAAAACTGAAACAACTACCTCCCTCCCACAAAGTTTTTGAACAGATCAAATGTTCTTTATTTCAGAATTAGAAAAGCTTTCTAAAAATGTGACGTTTTTACCTTGTCAATTGAGTTGTTTTTCAAATGCATGGTAGAATTGTAGGTGAATTTATCTACATACATATCTACATAAAATTTTAAGGTTTTAATAAACCTTTTATTAATATATGCACTGAATATTTTAGTTTAAGTCTACCTCATAACGTGCTTTTAAAAAATAAATGCTACTTTGAAACATTTGCCACACTTTTTGTGTGTGGTTAACCTATTTAAAAGGTTGATGGCAAACTTGCATTGCAGTGGTTAGGAATCTGCCAATGCAGGGGACATGGGTTCAAGCCCTGGTCTGGGACGATCCCACATGCCGCGGAGCAACTAAGCCTGTGCGGCACAACTACTGAGCCTGCGCTCTAGAGCCCTCAAGCCACAACTACTGAGCCCACGCGCCACAACTACTGAAGCCCGCACGCCTAGAGCCCATGATCCGCAACAAGAGAAGCCACTGCAACGAGAAGCCTGCGCACCGCAACGAGAGTAGCCCTCGCTCGCCACAACTAGAGAAAGCCGCATACAGCAACAAAGAAGAACCAAAGCAGCCAAAATTAAATAAATAAGTTTAAAAAAGATTAGGAGACCACCTGGAGCTAGATTAAGGGAGTGCAAGTCCTGTTCACACCCTAATCTGGTCAGAGACCCCACCTCTGGAAAAAACAACAACAACAAAAAACTTGCATTTAGCATTAGTTTGAAAATTTTTGTTTACATTTTGTTCACTTTTAGACCAGAATCAAGCATAAGGCTGTAACAGAGGCAGTGGC